TGTGTATGTGGAGATAGTCCCTAAAGCCAGAATTAAATCCCCGCAATAGGGCTCTTTGGTACTATTCCCTTTCCATAGCTAGAGGGTTCAGATCTACCAAGTTTGTTTGATTTTATTCTTTTTTAGAAGAAGTCTGGAAAGGTGATGACCTGATAGAGAGAATCCAAGAAAATGAAGACAAACATTCAAGGCAAGTTGTTTGTATCAACAGCAAAACCCTGATTGAAGAGAGAGGGGATACTTTTGATAAAATATATGTGGAAACAAGCCTTGCTCCTTCAAGCATAATAGCTCACAATTGTGTCTCATGTGGAAAGAATTTAGACTCTATTTCAGAATTAATTAGTAGTGATGGGAGTTATGCCAGAGAAAAGCCTAATGAGTGTAATGAATGTGGAAAAACATATCATGGAGAGAAACTCTATGAATTTAATCAAAATGTAGATACCTTTTCTCAAAATGAAGAAGGTGTTCTACAGAAAATCAACATTTTGGAGAAACCCTTTGAATATAATGAATGCATGGAAGCCTTAGAGAGTAAAACTGTTTTCATTACTCATAAGAGAGCTTATATGGGGGAGAAACACTATGAGTGGAATGATTCTGGGCCAGACTTCATTCAGATGTCAAGTTTTAACACATATCAGAGATCACAAATGGAAATGAAGCCCTTTGAATGCAATGAATGTGGAAAATCCTTCTGTAAAAAGTCAAAATTTATTATACATCAGAGGGCTCACACAGGAGAGAAACCTTATGAATGTAACGTATGTGGGAAATCCTTCAGTCAAAAGGGAACCCTCACAGTACATCGGAGATCACACTTAGAGGAGAAACCCTATAAATGTAATGAATGTGGGAAAACCTTTTGTCAGAAATTACACCTCACTCAACATCTGAGAACTCATTCAGGAGAGAAACCCTATGAATGTAATGAATGTGGGAAAACCTTCTGCCAAAAGACACATCTCACCCTTCACCAGCGAAATCATTCAGGAGAAAGACCCTATCCATGTAATGAGTGTGGGAAATCCTTCTCCCGCAAGTCAGCTCTCAGTGACCATCAGAGAACACACACTGGAGAGAAACTTTATAAATGTAATGAATGTGGGAAATCCTACTACCGAAAGTCTACTCTTATTACACATCAAAGAACACATACAGGAGAGAAACCCTATCAATGTAGTGAATGTGGAAAATTCTTCTCCCGGGTATCATACCTCACTATACATTACAGGAGTCATTTAGAAGAGAAACCCTATGAATGCAATGAATGTGGCAAAACCTTCAATTTAAATTCAGCCTTCATCAGACATCGGAAAGTACACACAGAAGAGAAATCCCATGAATGTAATGAATGTGGAAAGTTCTCTCAATTATCATATCTCACTGACCATCATGCAACTAATTTAGGAGAAAAACCCTATGAATGTAATGAATGTGGGAAAACCTTCCTTGTAAATTCAGCCTTCAGTGGGCACCAGTCACTTCCAAAAGGGGAGAAATCCTATGAATGTAACATATGTGGAAAATTATTCTCTGAGTTGTCATACTACACTGAACATTATAGAAGTCATTCAGAAGAGAAACCCTATGGGTGTAATGAATGTGGGAAAACTTTCTCCCATAATTCATCCCTATTTAGACATCAAAGAGTACACACCGGTGAGAAACCCTATGAATGTTATGAATGTGGGAAATTCTTCTCTCAGAAGTCATATCTTACTATACATCATCGAATTCATTCAGGAGAGAAACCTTATGAATGTAGTAAATGTGGAAAAGTCTTCTCTCGGATGTCAAACCTCACTGTACACTATAGAAGCCATTCAGGAGAGAAGCCCTATGAATGTAATGAATGTGGGAAAGTCTTTTCTCAGAAGTCATACCTCACCGTACATTATAGAACTCATTCAGGAGAGAAACCTTATGAATGTAATGAATGTGGGAAAAAATTCCACCACAGATCAGCCTTCAATAGCCATCAGAGAATTCATAGAAGAGGAAATGTGAATGTACTTGATGTGGGAAATCTCTGAAGTCTAAAAATCTCTCAATTTTTAGAAAATGCTTTGAATACAATATGGAAAATCCAGTAGGGAATCAAATATAATTGTTCATCTGAGAGTTCATGTTCCTGAATAGGGAAAAGCCTTTAGGCATTCAATTCATTTTAATTTTGATTTTCACAGAGAAGGAGCCCCAAGAATGCAACAAAAAGCAAAGCCTTCAGCAAGACATACAACTCATTGGACACTAGATGATTTATGCAGGAGTGAAATTTTATAAGTATTTAATATTTATTTTGTATATTTACATATCAGGGAATCATCCTAAGGAGAAATCTGTCAATATGATGAATGTGGAAAATGTATTGTCTTGGAATTGTTATACTAAAAGCCATACTTCTGATGTAAAATCAGGTGTTTATAGGAAAGACTTTAGAAGCTAACAGCTCTGAATTAACCTTCATTGTATAAAATGAAGTTTTACAATCATCAGGAATTGATTGTGAGGACAGTAGTGGACAGTAGCATTAAATGAGTATGTGGCAATCTGAATCATGTTCTTAAAATGCAATCTAATGGTGATTCTATGCAAGTTTGGATTTGGATAATTTGTGAAAAGGCAGTATTATTTGAGTATTAAGATGACAAAATGTATTAACAGGATATATTGTTGGTCAGATAATATTTGATAGGTATAAGAATGAAATATATAATTTTTTATTTAGATGAATTTACAAATGTGTTTTTAATGAATGCCTCATCAGTAGAGGAGGCAGTGGATTTTATAAAGTTTTCAATTGCACCAAGCAAACAAATGTTTTTAAAAATACTATTTTGATAAATTACACATACATAATTTGGAATTGTTTTAAGTATTTCTGTGAATGGGAACAAGCATACTACTGCTCGTCCTCTCTAAAATATATCTTCGAAGTCTCGTACCATTCATTTTACTCCAGGTTTGAGTGTGCAGAGTGCCAATACTGTGAAATTCAGAAATTTTATCTGAATTTTTATTAGCTGTAAATATTATTTTGTTCATTTCCCCTATTCTCAGTATTTCAGAACAAATTAATACAAGTTACCTTAAGACTTTTTTCTGTGGGTTAACTTAAAGTCCTTTTCATTTCATTGCTTGTTGGAAAAGTTTGGATCTTATTCTAGCAATTCTTCACATGACACAGAGGGCAAATCCTGATTATTCTAAACCAATAATGATTATTTTGGTGAATTGTTTATATTGGCCATGTGACCCAATCCTGGGCAAACAAAATAGAGATAGGTTTTGGGAAAAGGATAAAATGGTGATCAAGTGGATCTTCTTTCAGGAATGCAAAAGTGGCTTAATATTGAAAAGTCAATTGCTGTTATACACCATGTGAAGAAAAGTAATCTAGAGTATGCAGAAAATTCATGTGGCAAAATTAATGTTCATTTATGATCTTAGAAAACTATGGGTAGAAAGGAACTTCCTTAACTGTATAAAGAGTAGCATAAACTACAATAAGCAGCATGCTTAATGGTAAAATAGGGAAAGTTTTTTTTTTTTTTTTAAGACAGTCTTACTCTGTCACCTTGGGTAGAGTGTCATGGAGTCATTGTAGCTCACAGTATCCTCAAATTCATGAACTCAAGTGATCCTCTTGCCTCAGTCTCCTGAGTATCTGGGACTACAGACACCAGCCACTAGACCTCACTAGGTCATTTTTCCCCCTCTATTTTTTTGTAGAGATGAGGGTCTCTCTGTTGCTCAGGCTGGTCTCAAACCCTGAACTCAAGAGATCTACCTGCCTTGGCCTCCCAGAGTGTGAGGATTATAGGCATGACCCACTATACCCCAAATAGTAAAAGTTTTCTTGAAAGACAAAAAAATAATAGAGAATGGTATCTGCTGTCATAAATTTTATTCAGCATTATGCAGGAGCTCCTAGCCAGTAAAGTAAGGCAAGAAAAAGAAACAAAAGGCATAAATCTTGGAAAAGAAATAAAACTTTTATTTGCAGATGGCATGACTTTGTACACAGTATTCTGAAGAATATATAATTAGAATTAGCAAATTTAGCAAGGTTCTGCATACAAGGTTATTTTTCAAAAACTTTTTTTTTT